CGCTGTGGCATAGATTGACCAGTGATGTTCAGGACTATTTTGATTGTGTCAAAGACATTTTGTTTGGTTTATTTTTCTTCTATTTCCCTTTCGGTTCCTCCTTTCCAAACAACGCGCAGTTCATTAACAATGTACTTCAAAAAGCAGGAAAAAAGTTAGCTTTTTGAGTGCAATGTATCTGACTAAACAGCTAATTGTACTTGAGCACTGCATTGTTTACATTTTTGTTGCTAGTCTGCAGTCATTTTTATTGAATTTGAATTGAAATAAAATATTCGAAATTAATGCTGAAGACCAATATATTTGCAAAATACTCACCATTTACTATCGTTGTACAATAACATTTTAAGTGCTTTTGTTATTGTCTATTAAAACATGTGCTTAACATCATCACATATATTAACGTGTGATATTCTCCTTCTATATTTTACTTTTACTACTACTTATGTGATATTCTCCTTCTATATTTTACTTCATTACATGGCATCAACTTTTTGTTTATCTTTGGCTTTATCTAAATTTCTTTATCTAAATCAATATAATAGTATAATCATTTGATCTTTGGTTTTTTGTTTGTTTGTTTTTGCTGTGTGAATCGCCCAGTGAAGAATCAACAAATTTAAATCTAATCTAACTAATCTAATCTAATCTAATCTAATCTAATCTAATCTAATCTAATCTAATCTAAAAAGAATAATCCTGAGGAACAGTATACTGGGGGAAACAATGAAATTGAGTAAATCTAATATATCTAGTATAATTTCAAATTATCTCATCTAATATTATAGAATAAGTTGTTATCTAATCTAATCTAACTTAGTTGGTTATCAGAAGTGTATGGTGGGGAGGACTGCTTTGGCTACAGTCCACTTGAACTTCAAAGTGGTTACATTTTCAAGGCAACCTGATTTAAAAGAAAGTCAAAAATATCCTGATTAGTTCCCAAAATAGGATAGACATTTTCATTTGTCATAATCCTGAAATCATCTAATAAAAGCAGTCTAACTTTCCCCGTCTGCTTAAACTACAACTTTTACAGTCCAACATGTCATAGCCTTTACTATTATTTGACTTGATCCATAGAGTAAACTTTAACCAACACAGTGTAATTGTGTCTGTTAAGAAGTAATCAATGGAAAAAAATATCTTCTTTGTGAAAGAAAATTCCTTCTTTTTTTGTTAATAAAAACCTAAATGTAGGTCACCTCTCTGACACTTGGAAAATGCACTGAATGCAAGCAAGTTATCCAGTGGAGCAAGTGTATTTGGGGTGTGTCCAAAAAAAATGCCACCACAGTTAGTGTATGATACAAACAGATGCCTGGTTAAAAAATAACTGTGCTGAAAAACTTACAGAGAATTATTCTGCAATTAACAGACAGAATAACAAAGGCTTTCTCCTCAACATATGCAACTGCTGCAAAACAACAAGGAGCCAATCTTCCTTTTAAATGTTAAAATAAATAAATGGTAAAATATCTACATTACTAGTCATTGCAACGCCACATTTGTATATAACATCCAGGTACAAACTGCTGCCTGCTGTGTGGTGTTACCTATAAAGCATATTTCCATGTATTTATGTGTTTTTGCAAATATGTTATCTTCATATCCCTGATTTCTTTCTTCTTTCTTCTTATTTCAACCATTGTTATTTTTTCTGAAAAGAAAAGAAATCAGAATTCATATTTTAATAGCTAGACCATAATTAAGCGCTCTCCGTTTCACAGCACAGCCACCATGTCTGGCATTTTTTCAACAGATGTTGAGATGCCACAGGAGGAATACACAAGAGTAAATAATACGATTGTGATTGCTGGAAAATTTGACGTTCTTGAAGAGTTAAGAACAATGCACCTATTGTTATTTCACAAATGTTTTCCATTTGACATTTGTGAAAATTGCCCCATCCACGTTGTGTTTTTGGAAGCCATTCAGCCATCTGGTGTAGAAGATAAATATCTGAAGTTACCACAGGCACAATCAGGAGTTTATTGCTCTACAACTTTCGGACCATAATTACTAATTCCTTTGCACTCGTGAGATCCTTGTACAGACCCTAATGTACTTTGTCGGTAGTGGACTCTCACTCATTGATCAAAAGATTCCCTACTGATTTTTTGGCAGTCATGTCTTGGAAATGGTATTGTAAAGGAATGGAAACCAAATCAGTCCATGACTGGAATTTTCCCAAAAGTGTTCAACACCAAAACCAAAGCCATATGTAATGAATTATTGTAATTGAGCGCGGATTGTATTTTCCTTTTCCTGGCATCATAAAATCCTTTTGTTGTCTACAGCTCGCTCCTCCAGCAGGCCATCCATGGTTCAGTGGGGAGAACTGAATGTCTTACAACTGGAGAGTCGGCAGTTCGATCACATTCACTGTGGTCTCTATGCTGATTTCTGATGATATACACCAAATAACCATCATCAGAGTTGAATGTGTCTGAAAAAAGAATAACCAGGGACACAATTGAGCATCACAGACTGGTAGTACCAGAAGTTCTGAATTGCTAAGGATCGACAAGAAAAAAAAGAGACGGCATTAAATAACAACAATTAACCAATGGAGTGGCATGGCACTCATTAATGAAAAACAATCAAGTTGTACTAGGTAACTTATGGCATGGCTACAGAATTCAAACTGTGATAATGCACCCCCTGCAGGGGAAGAGTGGTATTTTCTTGCTTTTGTGTTTATAAACATGAACTCAGTATTTTTTTTACTTACTTTAATTTATAATAAAACAAAGATACATGTTAGCGTTAGCGTTCTCTGCTATAACACCAGTACAAAGACAACAACAATAATGATCAGCAGATGATTGCAGGCTCACAAGTTCTTTAGAAATGACACTTCTCTGAGTTTCTAGAATAAACAGACAGGACAGTCGTTGTGATCTCCTGTCAAGATTGTGTTTGCGTTCCCACATTTTTATTTATACACATGGTGTCTCACCAAGTACTGTGTGTGTGAATAAGATATGCCAGTCAGTCAGAAACATGACAAGGATAAGATACTCTTCAAAGAAAAAGAAAATCTTTTGTTAGTGATGTGTGTTGTGTATTTGATTAAAATGAGTCAGACTGCCCTTAAAAGAATCCAGAGTCAATCATTTGTCCTGTCTTCAGCATGTCCTCTTCAGTGTCACAGTAGCTTTACTGACTAATGTAAACCACATGGAACTTTCACTGTCCGATTCACTGATTAACAAACGCTTAATAAACTCCCAACTTTTTGTAAGATAATATGCCTGTGGGAGACGTAGTCATTCTTGTGGAATGGAGGTCAGTAGATAAGGCGAATGTAGCAAAAAATAACAGCAGTATAGCCTTACTGGAAAAAGATGAAGGAAAAGATAGGACTGAGGATGACGATAAGAAATCAAAACTCACTGATGTGTCCTGAACCATTTATTTGTGGAAGGTTTTTTTTTCACTGTGACTTCTTACAGGATGTTTGGTTAGCTAACAGCTAACATACTGGACAGATGGAACAAATTATTTGGTGACAAAATTTCTTCCCTGGTATTAGGTTTTTTGGCAAAAAAAAAAGTTTGAAAAAATGCTAGTGGACTTTTGTTTTTTACAAACCAGTGTAGTGAATGTACTTCTGAATACTACTCAGGCCATATATTTCCTAATAAAGGAGCACACATCTATGTAAGGGATGTATTATTTTCTATCCCACTGCTCTCTTTGCTGTCTTGGCGTGTCTCTGTTCTGACTTGTTTTGTTTTTATTTACACTGGGCTAAAACAGGATTAAATCAATCAGGGGTCAGAGACGCACTCCTCACAAGGAGGAGACGGAAAAAAACAGGAAGTGGACAGTTAAACGTCAAAAACAATAGTTCAATGGGAGTACACTTTAGCAGAGGAAATGGCTTATAAATATGTAAACAACTTAACAAAAACTAAAGTAAAATGTAATTGAATAAGTGATGTTGCAGTGTCCTATATTCTAAATGTGCAGTCTTCAACCAGGCTCTTTTTTTCAACTTCATTGAATCTGGTTTCTGTCTTTAGACTAAGCTAAAATACAAAGGCATAAGGAAAACATCAGTTTGCTCAAAGGCAACCTTCACATGTCAAATCCTGCAATAAAACTGTCAAAAATTTAATCTAAAATTAACCCTGAAAGGCCTTTCATCTGTATCCCAGCTGGCATCCACTCTCCAACTAATCTTAAAGGGAGAGCAAGTGGAAATGGACGCAAATACTGTGTTTGTGTGTGCGTGTGTCTGTGTGTATAAAGATAACCCCACAAGTAATGTTTTCCACAAGGGTCTCCGTAAATACTACACTGTTAGTTCAAGGCAGGATATCCCAGAAACACAAGGTGTGTGCGTGTTTGTGCTGATAAAGGCGTTCTCCACGCTGACCCAGAGCTCCTCCTTCTCCTTCTGCACTCCGGGTAGTGGAAAAAATTATGTTGGAATTCCAGTCTGCTAACAAGTATGTGCACTTTGACCCGGATCCCTCCACCACTGCCGAAATTCACTTCACATCTAAAAATAGGCAAACCTGAAAGTAATCTGCATTTCTTGGGTCTTAGTGGCTTCAACTGGGTCAACTTCAACTCAACAGTCTCCTGATGTGAGGTTTACAGTGGAACCACGATCAGCGTTTGCTCCTGTTAACCTCATGTATGAGTCCCAGGAGAGCTAGTTTTGTTAGCATGGGAATGTAATGTCTTTAGTGGTATGAAGGTCTGTGTGCACGTTTCAGCCAAGAACTAGAGAGAGGATAGAGTGTTATCTCTGTTCTATCTCGTTCTGGGAAACCTTCCAATTTCCATAAGACAATGTCCTGGATGTATGACAGTTTCACATGCTGTGTTGTGCAAAACTCTTAGGCATGTATATGCTTTTACTTTATCTGTCTGTTTTTTGTGTAGAGAGTCAGAGTATATATTTTTTTAAAC